GCTGTCCATAAACACGAGCATGTTTGTCACGCAAGAACGGTTTGGGAGAAATCCGTGTTGAGCTGGAGATATCAGATTGCTGGAAGTAAGGTGATCTAGGATGGCTCGCTTCAGAATGCGTTCCATCACCTTGCACGGCACGCTAGTGAGGCTTATAGGCCTATAGCTGCCAGGCGATAGTCGGTCATCAGTTTTGTAGATTGGCGTAACAATCGCTTCCTTCAAAGCAGAGGGAAGGCGGACTTCGTCAAGCGACTGACTGATGCCTCCATGCCTTTCGATATGCCATATTGGGTGGAGCAGGAATCCAGGTGACCGGTACAGAGTTTCACGACCGTTCATCGGGTCACGACAGTACGATTAAAATGCCTTTAAATCGGTCACTAGGACGCCGTTTTGCGGGACTATATCCATTCGATTCGATCCTTGTTGTTCACCTTCGCTGGTCCCATCCCACACGAGGAAATGTTTCATCACAATCGAAAATCCAAAATCGGTATTTCACTGCCGCAGTGGTTGTTTTTTCCAGAGCCAGTTCTGATACGGCGAAATACCCGACCTTCGAAATATAACACCATAGTCGAAAAATTGTGCTCCTTGAGTATAACCACTGATAAATCTATTTCGGACGCCCTAACGACATGGAAGAAACAGCTACCTTAGGTCACATTGCGCCCTCTGCAAATTTAGGGTGCGCTTCAGTGGCTGAACATCAGACAGGAACACGGGGACCCGATGCTCACGGTGGGAATACCCTATGCAGCTGGCACTTCAGACGACCGACGAAAGTTTTTTCGGAGTTGGGATACCAAAACATATATCCGAATTTAAGAGCGGTTACAGCGAAACCTTGAGAGGAATGAGAACCCTATCAAACTTAAAAACGTGCAAGCTGCGTTTACAAAATTCCCTGTGCAGAATGCCCCGCGAAATACATAAGCCAGTCAGCTAGTGACCTTTACTATTTAGATCGTTCAGGACGCAGAGATACCCATATCCCTACTGTTGGCAGGACAACTTGCGCGTTCATCATTGTTCTAACGGCTCCATTGTTTGAGTAAATACTGTGGTTACCTTTGAAGCTTTGATCCACAACGTGTGTCTTGGTCCTACTAAGCTTGTCTCATAGCAAGTGTGTTGTCTGCTACCGTTTTTCTGATGTTTGTTTTGGTGTACACAATCGGAAAGCAAATATTCCAATTTATTATTTACTCTTTGGTTTCCGTTCGTAGACTCGTTTCTGATGACTTCATGGCTGGTATATTATGCGACACCATGAAACGAGAACAGAAATGCCGACTACGTCTTTAGTTTTGCCACGCTTTGCAAAAAAATGGACCTCCATTTCCGTTATATCTGCTGATTCGCCAACCTGAGTTATCTGCTGACCCGCTCCAGTGCCTAGTGTCGGAGAGAAAAAACCCACGGAAGGGAACACAGCAGCTATATTTTAACAAAGCGGGTGCGAGAGCGTGAGTGGATGCAAGTGCGAACGTAAAACGGTCTCAAGCTATTAATTGGAGGGACATTGTCTGAACTCGGTCAAATGCTGAAGCTCATGGTCTGGCTGTGACGCGCTGCATATTGAGGGGGTGTTGTTTGTCTGGTGAACATCTAGCGGAGCTGAGAGTCTCGATAGATTTCGGGCATTCAGTGGTTGCTTTCATGAACCTGACCTTCCTGATAATTTCAGTGTAAAAACAAAGTTGTTTGTTATTGGACCACCAAATCAAATTAAGGAACGAATACTGGAGTATGGCAAAGACTGTGAACTTTTGTTAACGAGCTCATTAAATTTCACGTACAATTCACCTGTTAATGATAACCTGTTGGAATTTCGGTCATCCGCCGTTCATCCGAAAAGCCTCTCGGCTGACACAAAAAATCTAGTTCTGTTTTACACGAGACTCCTTTTTTGTTTTATTTCAAAGATAATGGCATATGGGGCTTTCCGTGGTCAATCGTGAAATTCGTCGCAACTAATCAGGCACGTGTTAAGCAAATCCGGCAGCACTACGAACATTATTTGCACACCTACCAGTAAGTTTTTGTGTGTACTGCCTTCACTACGTTTCCGCAGAGGACAAAATTATAAACACTTTTACCTTCCTTCTGCGAGTCTTGCCTAATTTTAGGTCTGGTTGGCTCGTCACCAACCAATCTACGTGAAAACTGCCCAGGTAGCATTTTGAACGTGATATGTACACACTTCAGACTGACCCGTTAATGATATCTGTAAGTCACAGAAGTTGTCTTGAAGCGTAACAGCTTTCAAGCGCAAAACAGGTCGGGGAAGCTCACATATAGTTTTGCTATTCAATGGCTACGTCTACAGAATGACAGCAAGGGTCCCGCAAGTAAACCTATTGTCCCACCTAGAAGCTCTCCGATGGATAGGGTAAATTACGCGCGCATGCTGCTTTAGATCAAGTTAATCATGGACGGATACGAGAGAAAGCCGCTTGGTTTAAAATCTGAGCAATAAAATCTAACGTAGTAACGCGGGTGGTTATGTGCATCTCGATTTGCAGAAAGCCGCATATTAACTGGAAAGTATTGCAGCAGAATTTCGCCGTCAACCACAACCGTAACACGGTTACTTTAGTAGCCTTTACGTTTTCGGTTGCGCTATCACGGCATCGATGGGCGTCCTTATGTAGCGTCACGTTTGCCCGTGGTATGGTGGACTTAAGTAGTGCATTGTTGCTTCCCGTGTGAGTCAACGGCGAACAAGGGTAACTTTCCTTGTTTTCTTACTACTCATGAGTAACATGACTTATACCTGCTTATTATGACACCGTTTCGTTTCCTTGCTGCTCGTTTTCTCCCTCTTTCGTTCCTACTTAAAATCTGCTTACCCCTCAGAAACTGATATCAATATTTTGTTGCCAGTCTGTCATTGCCTGCAAGTTCGTCTCGATTGCACCTATTTTTGAGCGCCCACTTCGACGGAAAGCGGACCAACCGGATATCGAACCCAGAGTCTCCGGACGGCAGGCGAACGCGCTACCGCCGATTATTTTGTATTACACATGTACCGCACCTGCCAGATAGTCTTTGCTGAGATTTGTTTCAAACGGACGAAACCGCGCAGCCTGACCTGTCACGTGACACGAGCAGCCGCGTCATCGCCGACCGAAAGACAGTCCCTCACATCCCGAACGTACTGACTCCTGCGCCGTTACGGCCAAATCACACTGTCAGACTGCCCCTATATGTATATTTGTACATCGTTTGGTACTACCTCGTTGTTACCTTTAGAAATCCCTGCTTCATCAGTGACTATTTTCCACTCTTGCTGATTGCGTCATTGTTGATTGTACGTTTGCTTAATTCATGATGCTTACTAATCCGTTTGTCTGTAGAACCAGTTCCTATCAGTCCCCAATATATGATCCGCTGCCCACGTCTGTTTGCTCCTATTGACTACCGGCTACGAACTGCGTATAATCTAATAGCCGCAATCGTCCTGTGAGATACATAGCCGTCCGGATATCACAAAATTAATCAGCATCGCACAGTTTATCAACGCTCTCGCAGTTAATCAGTACCGCAAACTCAACCGACGTTTTGCCATGTCTGACGAACATTCCGCCGACCTTCCTCCACTGGATTACCCCCCCCCCCACGCCCGAGCGAGATCTCCCATCGATCTGAAAAACAGAGCTGCATGGCTGGAAATAAAGATGGCCAAAGTCCGTCTCCAAATGGCTAGCCTTCAGTGTTCTTCTACCGCTACAGACAGAAGAATCCAAGATTCTGGTCGTTTCTTTGTTCGCTGAGCTGGGCAATTTGATTGAAAAAGCTTCATCACCAATCGTGGTGGCATCATCAGTCCATAGTTGTGCGTAGCGGTGGGTTAGTGGTTGTGCGTTCAGTAGTGTTACGTGTGTGTTGATATACGTGCCGGTAGCCGGGGATGACCTTTGACCGCGATTAGTTAGAATAACTAACTAATAACTAGTTAGAATAATTAATCGCGGTCAAAGGTCATCCCCGGCTACCAGCACGTATATCAACACACACGTAACACTACTGAACGCACAACCACTAACCCACCGCTACGCACAACTACGGGCTGATGATGTCACCGCGATTGGTGATGAAACGTTTTCAATCAAATTGCCCAGCTCAGCGAACAAGCCAACGACCACCATCTACGCTGCCTGAGCTACCAACATTTTTCTCCATAGAACTCCAAGACTCTGTTAAACTCCATCCTACCCACTTAACCAGGAGGAGGCCATCACCCCCAACTATCATGTGACGCCTCCAAAGAATCCACAGATGACGTCCACATCGTACCCACATCTTCCGGAACTGTTTAACCTCTGTAAGGGTACGCCCCAGAGAAAGGGACCAAAAGTCAGCGGTAACCCTCTGAATTACTGGAAGTTTCTGATGGGTTACACCAGTGGGGTCGCCCAATACGGTACGGATCCCGCAAACCGCGTAGCCTACTTGATCGATGCATGCGAAGGTGAAGCACGAGAGGCAATCGATCTCTGTACACTACTTGAGCCGGAACACGGCTACTCAGAAGCCTGGAAGATGTCGGGCCGCAGGTTCGGCAACCCCTCGGTTATCGCAAGAAAATACATTGCGTTTATCACAACCGGACCACCTGTCAGGCCGAGCGACGCCAGTTCACTACTCAAGCTAGATGACACAATGAAGGCCTGCTGATTAGTACTCTCCCAACTGAATTAGTCATCGGAGCTCAACACCAGAACAAACATAGGTGCTATTAATAACAGTCTTCCGACCGCTATCCAGTCGCAATGGTTCGATCGGGCCTCGAAAAACCTCAAGAAGAACCAGGAGCCCAGTTTCGTTGACCTGACTGATTATGCTCTAGACCGGGCAGATTCGTTATCAGCTAGAGAGTCCTATTTACCGAATGTTTCCCAACTGAGCACCAGTAGGTCAGAACACCCCCGCAGCTTTTTGACGGCACCATATGGCCCGACATGTACCATCCGTGCGTGCACTGTGGCAAAATGCACTATCTCAATCAATGCTCGCAATTCGTTCGCTTGGATGCTGATTCCCGTGCAACGTTCGTCCGTTCAGCTGTACTTTGTGAACTTTGCCTCAAGCCAAAACATAACGCGAAACAGTGTCGCTCGAGGCGATGTTGCGGACTTAATGACTGCAGAGGTCTACATCACCCACTACTCCGTCCGCCCACCCAGCCTTCAGCTAAGTCGACGGGGCTAACGTGCCAAAAGAATGCCGCTCAGACCTCAGCGTCAACTGTGCCAGCGGATCGTGTAACCGGACAACCGTGGCGCTCGGCCTACTGCCTGTAACTCTTCGCGGCCCCCGTGGAGTTTACAGAGTCAACGCTCTTCTTGACAGTTGTTCAGACTGCACGATGCTGAAAGAGGATATCGCCTTAAAATGCCACAAACATGGGCGTTGCCACGCCCAACAGTCAGAATGAGGTGTCGGCTACTCGGGTCAGTTTTGATATAGATACAACGCCGCCGACCGAGACGCCGCAACCTCTCAAGGCATGGACCTTTCATCAACTCCCGTAGATTACTCAAACCCTACCAACGAGAGAGCAGTGGTCTAAGTGGGATCACTTGAAAGGAATCCCGTTCGAGACTGCCGGAAGCCAACCAATATCCCTTTTGGTCGGGGTGGATGTACCGGTGGCACATTGGGTGCTGGAAGCCCGAACGGTCAGGCCACACGAGCCTTACGCTAATCGAACACCACTCGGATGGGTCCTTTTTGGGCCAGTAAATGATACGAACGAGAGGTTGGCCCGAATCAACTAGCTCAGCTGCCATGTGGAAAGCCGTCTGGATATATGGTTAGAAGCCACGACCAACATCGACTTCAGAAACCCACCACCATACGAGCGCTCCTCGTCGCAGGCTGATGAACAGGCATTATCTGTCGTAGACTCTTCGCTGAGACTGACGGATGGGCGCTATGAAATTGCTCCGCCTTGGAAGGCGGGTTGTCCGAGCTTGGTGTAAAATTATCTCGTTGCTCGCCAAAGACTCAAAGCCCTTAGATAGAGATTCACCAGCGACGGGCATCACGATCTCAATATGACTGAAACACCTGTTTAGAAACACGACAAAATCTGTCTTATAATCAGCTGGGGTTAAAGTTGCGAGAGCAACGTCAGACAATTTATGCAACATCGTCGCACGGAAGTCTTTCATGTTTATCGCAACCATACCAATGGTGTTACCAAGTCTTTCCAGAACTCTTCCGATGTTTTCAAACGTTTTAGTACACACAATCTACTGGTGTATGAGACAGGTCTTAGTGCAACTGCCGGTTGTATTTTCAAACAAACGGTTTTTCCTGATCAAGATCTGCCCAACAACGTTTGATCATTAGGCTTTGGTACAAAATTATTGCACCGATTACTCACACCCTTTTGGTGCTCGAAAACGGGATGTGAACAAGACTCAATGAATTCCTCTCTCTCAGCCAGCGTTATCAGCCACAACGCGTTGAAACGACCCGCATATACAAGTGGAGATGTGTCTTTGTACCGCAATTTCTCGACTGTGCTATCATCACTCGTGTGCCAACTTTTCCGCCATGCGTTGTCCAAGCAACATTCTAAATTAGTCATCAAATGATGATTTGATGGACTCCTGCTATCAGTTAGCTGCACAAGTTTGCCGCATGCATTATTGGAGTCAGATACTCTCCCGAAACGTGTGGGGTTAAATTTTGCTTCACAATCTTTACTTCTTGAGCGTTGGGGATAAAATAAAGCATATCCACAGACAAAGAAGTTGCTCGCGGTGGATTTCGCCATCCATGGCCTTTGTTTGAACACATCGGCGAGCAATTTGGAGCACAGTGAATTTAAAAGAATTGAACTTATACTTTCGCGGTAAAGTACTTTTGTCTTGGCGGTCTAAACACAACAGAATTTACGCGGCGAGTGATCATGTGCTCCCTTAATGATCCGTTACGCTCGTGATGAGACAGAAATCAAGTGTATGTAGACCCATGAACAAGCGCAAAATAAACGTGCCACATGATAAGGATCAGGTCCAGCGGATCACCTAAATGAACATAACCGTGGAGCAGCGAATCATATTCGAATTTTTCTCAATGCCAACAAAATGAATAACAAGACTTCTGGAACCTGCACTAGTATCAGCCGTCTGGGAGCACCTGTGAGTTTGCACCACGAACTGTGAGTTGATTAAATATTGACCCCACCTCGTTTATTCCGACGCTATGATAAAGATCTTTTTTCACGGATTGATACACAGGATCGAGGCCTTTGCCCAAGTTTCACGGGTCGGTTTTGTTCTTGTCGGTCAGTGGCTGTCGTTCACCTGAAAGGCACAAGTGAAAAAAGGGTGTAGCACTGCTCTTTATG